ATATATATATTTATATCTCTATATATAAAAAAATACTTTCATGCTGAAGTACACTTCTCTCCCTCCCACTTCTATTTGTTTTGCTTATATTCTGATCTGGCTTGTTCTGCCTTCGACAACTCAATCTTTTACAAAATCTGAATTAAAGAAATTGGCTTGTGCACATAGTACTGCAGGAAGCACAGTGAAGTGAGATACCGCAAAGCTATATTAATAGATTTGCTTATGACCTATTAATAGAATGTATATTAATACTCACTGGGATCACTGTGTGTTTATAACCGTTTGTAGTGCTTCAGCTTTGTGCTTGTACTCCTCCAGCCCAAATCAGAAAAGCATTAAACTGATACAGCTAAATAACTTTTATCTTCCTCAAAATGCAAGTCAAACTTGTGAATCTCACCCACTTGTGAGCATGTAATTTACACCCCCCTCTTCAGGCTGATCTGTCCTTTAGTCACCATCATCTTTTGAGTTACGGTGTTTCTGTCAATTTGGGTACTTTTAACACTGCTTTTTCTTCACAAATATGGATTAAGTTGGTAAGAACTTGGTTTATATTTTTCTGTGTGAAAGCATTAAATCAGAATGTAACTTTCTGCAAAATAGTTGAATAAAATCCTGTGTTGGTTTTTTACTTGTGTTCTGGGACTGATTGAAGCAATAGTGAAACAACTCAAAGTAGTGTCCTTGGTCAGTTAATATAAGCAATGTCCTGGTCAGAAAGCATACAAATATTCATATACTGATTATATGCCTGTGTCCATGTTAGAAGACATCTGTTTAGCTGTAGTTCTCTAGGTGTATTGTTTTTATCTATTATTATCTTGAATACTCAAGAATATCACTGCCCATTTCATTAAAGGAATATGTATAAAATAAATGACCCTTAAGGTCTTCCAGACAAAGCTATAGGTGTTTTAAAATTGGCAGATCTTATTCTCATTCCACTTACAAATAAACTTGAAAATTAACCCACTGAAGTCTAGAATTCTTATTCTGTAGAAGCTCCTGGGAAGGAGATACCAAGGTGATAGCTAAGAAGCTGGAAGTATCAGGCTAGACACAGTCGGCAGAACTGCCAGCAGCCATGGGAACTATTTGTTGGGCAAGGAACCAGTGTCTGCACTGTTTGTGTAGGTTATGTACGTGTGTAGGCTAATTGCAACCCACCTTTAATATGTTTTTTTGCTAGCCATACATATTGGATGGGAGTACCATCAATATACAGGTTCATTTCTGTCCTGTGAAAGAAAAGGCAAGGGGTTTTTTGTTTACTGTCATCTTTTCTGTAGAAGAAAAAAGGCTGCTTTCCAAAGTGTGGAAAGTGAGATGGCAAGTTAGGAGACTTCTGTCCTCTGTCGGAAGGACAGTATCTAGATAATTCTCTTTGCTTTTAGTGTGAAGAGAATTACTACCCTGCATAAGCAAGAGAGAAGCTCTCTTTTCATTTAAAGAGGAAAAGATACCTTTTTTAAAATTCCAAACTGTATTCAACCCAAACTGATATAAATGCTCATTGAGATACTTAGTAACAGCAAGTGTTCATAAACAGAAACAAATTGTGGCTGGTCACAGCTGTCAGCTTGTCCTGTGTACTTTGTGTTCTTGTGAATTGAGTATCTGTAAGAAACATGGGGTGAAGATGAGGAAAAGCAAATGCATAGTGGCAAGTGTAAATAGCAAAACTGAGTTCTGAAGCAACTGTTTAGGGAGGGACTCAGTAGTAAACCACTGCGGCTCTGACCCTTTAAGAATGAACAACAGAAAGAGCCGTATTTACCCGTATTCTCACTTCACATCTGTCTGAAAGCAAGCTGTCTAAACAACATTTTTGAAAACTAGAAATTATATCCTTTTGTACCTAATAAAACGTACACTAAATATGTTTGCATGTGAGGAGGCTCTTGTCTTATTTCCTCTCCCCTTCCCACCAGAATGTAAACAAGGATTAATAAGCGTAGTGTATATAGTAATGTATTGTATTCTGGGTTTGTCTTAAGCTGTGCTTAGACCGCTGCCTTGCACAAGGTTGCACTGCATGTGGCAGAATTAGCAGGGCAGACCAATAAGGTCAAGCAGGTGGTGCTGAAAACCTGCCATAAAATTCATGCACCTCTGGGCGATTGAGGAAGTTATTTTGGACAAGCTCTGGTTTGGCCCTGTAGGGATCACCCATTTTCTGCTGGAGCACCTATATTCATTGTCTGGGCTAGTTTTTTTTTAGCTGAAGGAAATGATGTTCTTGTGCTCTGACACAGTCCCACCTCAGGTGCTTTACTTTGCATTGTGGAGCAGTCAAGAACCTCATTTCTAAAGCACCCACCTTGTCAGAGTTAAATCACTGCTGAAGCGTAGCTACTAGGCCTTCTGATGTCAACTCACTTGTATGCCAGAGTAATACAAGGAGGCTCAGGGGACCTTGCCGCTCTCTACAACTACCTGGAAGGAGGTTGTAGCGAGGTGGGTGTCGGTCTCTTCTCCCAAGTAACACGTGATAGGAAAGAGGAAACTGCTTCAAGTTGCGCCAGGGGAAGTTTAGATTGGATGTTAGGAAAAATTTCTTCACTGAGAGTGGTCAAACATTGGAACAGGCTGCCCAGGGCGGCGGTTGAGTCACCATTGCTGGGGGTATTTAAAAGACATGTAGATGTGGTGCTTAGGGACATGGTTTAGTGATGGCCTTGCCAGTGTTAGGTTAATGGTTGGACTCAATGACCTTAAAGGTCTTTTCCAACCTAAATGATTCTATGATTCTGCAATGCATTTCATTATTGCTTTGTAATGTTCTGGGGTCTTTAATGATTGTGTAAGAAAAATTATTTCCATTGAATTGTTTTTGCACAAATACACTTTACAGTAGCTATTTATATGTTTGTTTTTTTTTAAAGAGAAAGCTTCCATTTCAAATACAGATTGCACAGTAGAATCTAATTCATTCAGACCTAATTTGCTTGGTTTTGTTTGGGATTTTAAGGAGAAGGAGCTGTTTTCATTAACAATACCTTGCTCAGCTCTTCCAAAAAAAAAAAAAAAAATCCAGGAATATTGAAGTAACTGCTTTTATGGCTCTCTATATCCCTTTGGCCCAAGAGGGTACAGACTCCGTAAGAAAGCTGGCCTAGCGCACTTAGCACATAGATACTTTGGGTCCCAGTGCTGAACGGTTCTAGAACCTGGCCTCCTGGTGCCATACCCTGTAACAACAAGCTCTGCTCAACTACGTAACTGAATGTTTCCTTTGATTGCAAGTAGGAGTATTCTGCTTTAATCTAAACTTCCATTTTAGTAAATGTATTTCCTCCTGAAATTATTCTGTTTAATCTGTCTGTTTGCCATGTGTTGCTGCTTTGTCTTCATGTAAGTTTTCATGGAGGCTCTGAGAGAATCAAGTGTAAAAGTGCGGAGTAGAGTTCCTGGGGTAATGATGTGAAGCTTGTCTACATGTAAACTTGCGTCTGTAGGATAACACTGAGAAAAACAGATGAAAGACTCTATAAACATTTTAAAATTTGTTCAGAGTTAAATATTTCTAATTATTTGTATTAAATATTTAAAAATAATAAATTTATTAAAATAATGTACAAGAAATATTTTTAAACCACTTTTTTTTTGAGTAATGGTAGTTAAACTAAAGTAGCTGAAGTAGGGAAGTCTTTAAGTATCCTAAGGGAGGGAGGTTCCTACTTGTTGGGAGATGGAAGTTCAGAGTAATGTGGCATATGGATCTTTGGTTCTCAAAACAAGGAATTGGCAAACAAACAAGCAAACAAAACCCCAACTTTGACTATAAATGACTCTTTACCTTGCAACGTAGAATGCATCATAATTTTTAATTTGCTGCTAGGTGTGGTGAAGAAACAGTCATGAATGGCTTCCTCTCTGAAATTGGTCGCAAAAGAACTATGTGTCTGAGGCTGTAAAACGAATGCTTGCTCTGGCTCACCTTCAAACATGGTTTCCATGGTGGTTGTTTCTTTCTAACTGTATTTGTATATCTTTTCAATTGATTTGCTTTCAGTTATTAAGCTTGTAATATGAATTGCTTAAGAGAATCTTGAATATCTACATACTTCTACGTTATTTGGGTTGCATGGCATATCTTGTAGGAATTGCTCCATAACCCTGTATAAACAGCTTGTAATGGAAACTTAGACTAACTTGAAGGGTGTGTTTGTTACTAGGGGAGTTTTCTCTTAAACTGTGGTAACTTTGCTGTTCTTGTTTTGCTGCAGTTCAAGTTATTCTTCATCTGCTTTGGATTTTGAGACTGAAAACAAAATAGATCCAGTATTTGATTCGCCAAGAATGTCACGGCGTAGTTTACGGTTAGCTGCTGCAGGACTTAAATCAGATGATGCACAAAGTGATATCCTTCATGACACCTCTTATGCCAGAAACATGTCCTTCAGAGATCAGTCTTCTAAGTAAGCATTTTTTTTATCATCGCAAATTAATTTATTGGTTGGAGTCTTGAGACTTCCTGTTTGAATATGACAGTACAAACATAGGTTACCTACTATTCTATTATTTGTTCTCAGTATTTACTGCCATATTTGAAAATTATGTTGAGTGTGTGGTTTGCAATGAAGTCTGTGCAAAAGTATAGGTGCTTGAATGTGAGGATTTTATTTCAAATGTGATTTGAGCTCTCTTATCATGTTAGTGTTAAAATACCTTGACTGCTTTGTTGGGTTTTTTTTGGCTTTTTTTCATTTAAAATGAGAGACAAAGAGAAATTTATATCTTTAGTGCTATATCTTATTTGTCTTTGCTTTGTTTCCTAGGACGGTGAAGCAACGCAGAAGTATGAATAAACAATCTGACAGCATAAGACACACACCAAGGAAAAATCTATCCAGCTCTTCCATTTTTAGCCAAAGCAGTTTCAATAGCCATGCCAGTGATGCATCAATGGTATCCACTGTATTGGATGAATCTTTGATTCGAGAGCAGACAGAAGTTGATCATTTCTGGGGTAGGCAATGATTGCTATTGCTTGTATCAAACTGTGAAAACTGCTTATGGCTTGGTGTGTATAAACGTATGTTCACATTCCTGCCTCATTTTCCTCACCCATTTTTCCATCCTGCCCCCAAATGTGTGCATATACTTACACTCTTGCTGTAGGTGTCTGCTGAATAAGAGGCCTACTGGAAATTCACAGTCCAGTATGTAAACTTGATTTACTGCTGTAGTCGACATCAGGACATGTTGTACAGACATGCACAATATGCCAGACAAACATATGTAATTTTGTGATGCAAGGCCATAGATTGTATAGATGTAATTATCTCTTATCATTACGTTCTTCAAAATGTGCATAGGGTGCTGTATTTAAAGAATGGTAAACATGTAACCTGTCCTTGAAAACCGAAAGGAAAAGCATTTCCTGTTTGTTTATAGACAGAAATGTGTTTCAACTTAACATACCTTAATCTGAAAGTTTCAAAGTAGTGGCACTTCAAGATTTCCTGAGAGGGTTTTTGTATGTGGCTGGCTGGTTTGGTTTTGCAAGTATATACAAGTGTGCTTTTCTGGAACTTACTTTTTTCATTGAAGAGGAAAATTTTGGAGTTGGCTACATGAAGTGTTGTGTACATAAAGTGTTGAGTAGAAGATCAACAACTTCTTATATCTCCCAATTCAGACTCCTTGTCTCTAGTTAGTATGCTTGTATCCCAGAGTCCTAATGTAAAGAATTATTTCAATCTTAGTAGAATGCGTTCTAAACTTTAGATTACCTGGCTCTTAAAACAGGATCTTAAAATACAGTAGTACCAAAGTAGTTACCAAGCAACAGAAACAGCGTAAGCTTGTAATTAGCTGCTTTAAAGTCACATGGGAGCTAAGAAAAGGTGTAGTTGTCACTCATATGATTTTGTCTGCTGCTTCCATGGTAGAATGCTTTTCACTAACTATTACTACATTAATATCTGAGTGTATGGATCTATTCCTGTGGTAGACTGCAAAATACGTTAAATGCTAATCATAAAGTGACTTTTCTTTGCAGTCTTAAAATTAGTGGGACTTCTAATTTGAGTTCTTGTCAGATATTGTGGTTGATTATGGGAATTCCTTATATTTGGGACCAAATCTGCTAATTTTTTTATTTTTTCCTGTCAAGGTCTTGATGATGAAGGCGACCCTAAAGGTAACTACACTTCCCTTTTCCTTCCACATGCATTCTATTTAATGGTAACTAGTCATGGCAATACTGATGTCAATGCGCTGAATGTTTTACTTTTGGTTTGCTAGGTAGTGATACTACGCTGATGCAGGGAAATGGCGATATAGCAACAGCAGAAGCGCAGAACACAATGATCAATGGCTACACTTGCAGTGACTGCAGCATGCTTTCTGAACGGAAGGAGGTTCTTACAGCATACTCGGCTTCTCATGTGCCATCTTCCAGAATTTACTCCAGGGATAAGAGCCAGAAACATGCATCTAGTAAGTTACTTTCTCTTGTGTCTTATCTGGATAGCAGCATGGTATACAGTTGATGCATTTTTCTATGTAGTGTTATTTAAGCACTTTTACTACCCTTCTAAATTTACCAATAACTAAATTCTAGAGATCAGCTTACATGAAATACCTTTTTCTGTATTAGTTGAAACTTGATGTACTTGTGAGCTTCTGATATATAACTATCAACTTTTTTTTTTTCAATTCTGAGTAGGAATGAAACAATTTCAAAATGACAATGCCGTGGTATCTTAACAAATTATATTTCCAAACTCATTTGGAACACAGTGGGCTGTTGCAACCAGCAATGATTGTAGGAGTCTTCTCACCTGGTATCAGCTCTATATGTGTCTGCTTATGAGGTTTTTGGTCAGGATTTTCAGACAGAAACTTTCCCTATGCATTCCAGTTATTTTTTTTCTTACATGATTTGAACTTTCAAGATTGAACAGAATTGTTACTTTGCAGTGCTTCTGTTATCTAAGAAATCTGAGAGATAACTTTCCTACTTTCTGCTTCGTAGTTTTGGGGTTTTTTTCTCCTTATTTAACCTGGCAGCTTATTAGAGTGTTTTTAGAAGCCAAACCTCAACTGCTTGAAAAATTTAACCCCAAAAGGGAAAAACTGATTCCAAATAGACTTCCTAGTGACTACATTCCTAAAGCTCGAAAACAAACGAATCTGCTGCAATTAAGGTTCTAGCTTTCCAAGGCAATCTCCATTCTAAGGATAGTTATCTGCTGTGTCTGCCTGCCTCTTGCATAGCATCTTGAATTTCTTGATTGTTGGTAGTCCTCAGTTACCACGAAGAAGTTGTTTCCTGAGTGGCCTTGAATTAGAAAGAACCAATTTTGGAATTCTGTAGGTGTGTTATTCATGAATGAAGTATGTTTTCAGTAGCAACAAATCAGTTTGTTTGAACTATAATGTGTGACTTTAAATGCTTTGAGGGAAGCATTTACCAAATGCTTTTTGGTAAATGTGTAGCACAGGTAGGAATTCTGTTGGCTTAGCATAATGAACTAAAAGTGGGACTGCATGAAAACTGTTTTCTGTTCTCCGGAGTTTGTATTCACACAGGAGAGCTTGACAAGGAACTCATCTTTGTACATTCCTTTGAACTTTAATCCAGTAGTTTGGGTTAAACTTGGGGAGGATGGGGCACACAATCATGGCAAGTTTTTGGAATGTGACTGATTCTAAGAAAGCAGCAGTATGGTGGACTACGGCTTTCTTCCTGTGGCTCTGAATAAGTGTGTGTCTCTAGCACTTAAGACAGACCACTGCAGTAACTTCTTCCAGTGTAAAAGCAGAGAAGTTGGGAAGTCCTCACCGTTGCAAATCCAAAATAAGGATGTAGTTTGTCTCTTTGGAGCTGTGACCCACAAAATCAGTATGGACAGCTCACATTGTTGAGAAATCTTTTGTTCTGGAAGCAAGGAATTCATTACTGCTTAGAGTTCTTAATTCTCACTGAGAAAATGTATTCTTGCTGAAGCCGTACATTCTATCTTGAAGGTGTTTTCCCTAGGATGTGTAGTTCTTACAAAAGCTTTGCTGTCATATCTAATGCAGCCAGACTTTTCAAACCAAGCTTGCTTAAGTTCGTACTACTAGCTAAAGAAAGGCTTTCCATGCTTCGTCCTCACTCTTCCACAAGCTAACCGTCAAGAGAGAATATAAGTACATCTTTATGTAGGTGAATAACGTGTATTCAAACTGTTTTTTTTCAATAGGAGGAACCTATTTCTACATGAGTAAGATTCTGCGATTGGTCAAACATGCTGCAGCATCTTTTGCATCACTATTAGTGCAACTATTTCAAATGGTTTTGCTGAAGCTGGGTTATGAATTTAAAGGTACCTCTTCAGTTGCCTTCCTTGGTCTCCACACAAAGCCAGAGTGTGTGTTGGGTTTTTTTTTTCTTATGGACTTCATCTTTTGGCACTGTGGTGTTCTTTTTAATAGTCTTTTGCCTGGCTCCTGTCCTTCTTCCTTCTTTATTACTAGTATTTACTTATCTCAGATGTACTATCCTTTTCATACTTTCTCTCTGTTTTGGAAGTATCAGGATTCACATATGTGAGATCTGTGTTACAGTTAAGATTCACGTGTTGATTTTTACTAGGAGGTGATAGAAGGCAATGGTTAAATTGAGAAACTTCAGTTGATTTTTTTAAAACTGTTTGGTGTGATCCTGTCAAATCCCAACTTTTCAATGTCTTTAGGTTTGGACTATCTTGTTACCCTTAAGCCCACTGTGCACTTAAAGCTTGATTCATTGTCTTGCAAAACTAAAGTTGCCATCATCACTGTGCACTGCTCTAAAGCACATCTTGTTTTCCATGAAAATGTTCAATTCTTCTCTTGGTGCTTTCTTTTCTATAATACATGCTCTACAAGTGAAGTTAAATTGCCATAGACAGAAGGTAACTGATTTTTGTGCGTGAAGAAAACTTTGCTCTCGCATTCTTTGTGCCTCAGTGCCTTAACTTGCTCATGCTTTCTTCTCAGTCTTTTAAGATCTCTGATAAAATACACACAAAGGTGTAACAGTTGGCCCATTTGACAGAATGATGGGAGTAGGGACTCAAGACTTGATGAGTTGTTACTTAGCGAAGTTCATTAAAAAATCCTATCTGAAAAGAACCAAAAAGATCTTTGAACCAAAAGGCCCTGCTTACTTAAAGAAGAAAAAATAGGATTGCACAGAGTAGGCTTCTTCCTTGATAATTTTTCATGTTTCCTGTGGGTAACCTGGCTTTAATAGTGAACCAAGCCAGTTTACCTAAAATCTGCGTATATGATAGCTAAAACATGCATATATGAAAGGCTTTGAACTTGAGAGTTACATTACATGTGTTTTTTTAAATGTGTTGCAGCTCACTCGGACTATTGTGGAAGCATGAATGTAAAGGAGTTTTACAGAGAAGATAGCCATCTTGGTGTAAATGAGGAATCAATATGTAAGTATAATGATTGATGTTGTCTTTTAGCCTGGGGCTGTACACCAGGTTGTTGCTATAATAACAGTATGAAATGCCCCATGACTCTAAGGAAGCTACAAATCAAACGTTTGGGAGAACAGTGATTGCCTGGTGTACTGTAGTATTTCCCCAAGCAAGTTTTATTCCACTGAAGTTTGCTTAGTGGTTTTTGGTTTGATAACTGATACCATGAAATAGACTTGTTCAAGTTATCTTGTAGCAATCTTGATTTGATCCTGGCTTTGTCCCATTAATCTACTGTTACCGCAACCAACAGGTGATGACTGTAAGGGGAAGAAACATCTTGAAATATACACCACAGACCACATGCAATCCTCATGGGCTAAAAGGGTAGCAAGGACCATTTGGCACACCTTTTCTTATGCAGGTTGACTTGGACCTTTTTTCTTTTGCTTTTATTTGCTTTGAAATCTCACAATGTTAATCATACATATTGTTTTGTGTTTGGGGTTTTTTTTACAAAGTAGATTAGAAGTGTAAAGTGTCTAGAAAATTAATGTACTTAATACCTTTCCTGTTTGACTTCTTGCTCTGATATTGGCTTTTATAGAAGCTTGGCAGACTGCTTACCTATTAGAAAAAACGAGGTTTAGGAATAGAGTACACTTTGTATGTTTAGAAGGAACAAATCAGATTGTTAATTTATTGCACTTTGGGGAAGTCTGTACGCTTGATGGGTTGAAAAGCTGCCTTTAATGAAAGCAGGTATGAGGTATTGGTATGCAGATTATTTGAATAAAGGGGTTTTAACATTTTATTTTTCGTTCTAGTGATAGTCAATTTTTACAGGAGTCTTACATAGGGGTAGAATCTTCCCTGTGAGATAAGCGTTCCCTAGCTTGAATGACAGAGGCATCAAGAATCTATTGAGTGCTCTTTATTCAGCAAAGGAAAATGATTTGAGACACTTCAGTCACCTAAATGCTTTGCAAAATATTGGGTTGGTATATGTATAATCCCTCAGATTAAGCCAGACACACCTGCTGATCTAAAAATGTAGGATTATTTTTCTAAATGTACACTACGTAGTTTGTTCTGTAGAACAAACAGTCCTAGTTTTGGATATAGTAATTGTTGGCTTTAGTGGGCTTTAAGTTACAGCATTTTGTTATAGTGCGTAATGGTTGGGTTTTTTGGTTGTTGGTTTTGGATTTTTTAAGAGACTCAAAACTGACATACTGAAGATCTTTGGGAACATTCAATTTAATGAAAATCTACTGCTTGTAACTTCTAGTAGGGAATATTTTCTATTATTTATCAGTATTTCTTATACATAATTTTCCCTAGGATTTAAAATTTTTAATTGTTCCCTCTTTTACACATGAACCTCGATAACAAACTTGATGTATAATTCAGAAAAATAAGATGCTTTTAAAGTAATGATATGCTTAAAACTTAAGGTAGTACTTTTTTTGCTATTCTCTGTTGTACTTAGCATGGCATTGTTAGATAAACATGCTACAAAATGTAAACCTTCTGTTGATTTTGGAAAAGTGATGTTCTAACTGCACAGATGCTGTTGATCATTCTGTTTATATGTGAGAATTCTGTTTCTAAATTTTCTTGGTTTCACTTGGTTTCATACTTATTAGTGCCTTGCTTTGCTTTCACATAGTGAAGAACCAAGTTTGTCCATTACTGAAAGGTAGGGTTTAAAAAACATGTAATGGGCAAGGGAATTGAGTCTGTTTTACTGCATGTACTGCAAAAGAACCTTAAGCTCACTTATATATGTGACCACATAGAGTTAATTTGTTATAATCTAGGTTACTTTATGCTTCACATGTTGCAAACAGTGGGAGCAACAGGATGGCTTGTGTCTCAGAAGGTGGTGTCTCTACTTTGGCTGGCCGTTCTTTCTCCAGGTTACTATCCTAATGTGTGTGTGTGTGTGCATTGCCTGTTCCTTTTGACAAACTAGGAATCTGCAGTATGTGACTTACATCAATTCAACTATGCTTATCCTGTAGCTTTTGTATCTTGAAATGCTTGTGCTACTTTCTTTATTGACCAAAATGTGCTTGATGAGAGGGTATATTTCTGTTCACAGCCATAATGGGAGACTAACCAGACTGTTTCATGAGGGAATGAGTGTGTGAATAGCACAGAATATGGGGTGTCAAGAATGATGGGGTGTGTTTGGTTTGGTAGTCGCTTCCTATCATGGTATTCCTCTTAGGAAAAACTGATGCTGCTAATCTGTGCATCTCTTGAAACATACAGACATCTTCAGTGCATGGTAACTTGGATTCAAGCATTAATACTGAATTTCTGGCAAGATACCATTATTATAACATAGAGCATTTAATCTTTTTGCATGACTATTGTTTTTCTTGAGCAGCTGATGTTATAATGCTGTCATACTTGTGATATCTAGATGTTCATAAGCTGCATGCGTTGCTTGTACTCATGCATTTCTCTGCTGTGCAAAATATTCTTGGCCACAATTGCATGTCACTCTGCTTAGTTTCTTTGAATGTGTGCTACAGTAATTATATTTCATACTACCAATTTTTGTCTTCTAGGGAGGGCAGCTTCTGGCATGTTCAGGTTGCTTAGAACTGGGTGGTATCAACTCATTACTCTGATGTCTTTGCTCAAGGTGTTTCTTCTTAGAAGGTGTGTATCCTTTGGAAAAAATTGTTTTGTGAGCAGATTATTCACCCAGTTATAATATAAAACAATAAAATGTGATAAATATATAATTTCTTGTAAACTTTTCTCTTTCTCTAGATGCCTTCCAAAGATCTACAAGCTATTACTGTTTCTTATCCCACTCCTGTTTCTACTAGGTATGTGAATTGTTCAGTTATCATAGAAATCAGTGTATGCTTATTACAGCTGTTCCGAAATAGCATTTTTAGCTCAACTTTCAGTTTATGAAGAAGATGCAGAAGCAAAAAAGAGCAGGTTTATTTGTGAACAGGGTAGTAATTCAAGACTTCAAAGTACTGACAAGTCAGTGAGCTTTGCGAATACCCTTGGTTTAATTTCGTAGAGCTCTTTAGACAGAGAGAGCGGGTGAGTGAGTAAATGCACTGAAGTCCTTTTTTTCTTTACATGCTTTCATAGGAATATGAAGCCTGTTCTTTATGAGCTCACTGCTACTGATTGCTTTGATGTTGTCTGTCTCCATAAAAGTGTGGTTAAGTTCTTTTACTAACTCATCCTAAATCTTTCCTTTGCTCTAGGCCATGCTTTAGTTGCTTAAAGTACTGCTATTTAGACTGGCTAGTTGACAATATTCTAGGTCAGCTGTCTAATTTGAAATAAAGTCAGTTTAAAATATTTACCGAAAGTGCTGGGCCATTTCTGAAAAGGAGTTTCATGTCTTTGCATGTCCTAAAAAACTTGTAGCTATTTTGGGAAGAAGATGAATCTTCTTAGAAACTTACAGTAGGGATTCGATTCCTTTGTACTAGGGAGAATAAAAAACAAAGAAGTTACCCTGTGTAGAAAATGCTGCTACTTCTTAGTAAGGTATTGCAAAAATAAATGTAATTGTTGTGAAATGTTAGATGGCTTCCATGGAAACCTAAGTTTCCTCCAACTTTTATTAGATATTATGCAATGTGGTGTGTAGTAAGTAGGGTATAAGGCAGGATATTTTTCCACTGAGATAAAAAGCAGTATTTACATCTGCCCTCAGTGAGCATGGCCTGTCTTAATCAGTAAATGAGATCTAGGTCCCAGAGCAGCAGTAGTATGAGATTAAGGATATGTCATGGTATAGAAGCAGAAGTTGCCTGCCTTACAACTGTGTGAGTGGTACTGATGGATGTTCCCTAATATTTTTGAGTGCTTGACTTAAAAATTTTAAAGCTGGCTCATGCTGACTTCTATTTAGACTGGAGTAGTGTCCACTGTGTGATATCTACCTTGCAAACTTAAAGTAGCATGTGTCCTTAAGAAGATGATTTGCGGATATAAGCAATCTTAAGGGAGAATTCTCTTGAACACCCTTTTTGTTTCTGATCTAGGTATATGGTTCTGGGGGTTTGATGGCTTAGTTTCATTATTACCTTCATTGAACTGGACAAGAATTGACAGGATACAGAGAATAGATGACTCTATTCATCTTCCTGAACCACAGGCTGATTCTTTTCACTCTGTGCAATCTCCAGAGGTAAGGAAGAACAGTCTAGAGAAGAACTTACATATCTTTTAAGACTTCTTAACTCCCATGTCTTCAATATTTTGCAATAACTACTTGATACACAAGGGTAATGTAAATAAATGTCTTGATTTTTATATATTAAAAAAATATATCTTTATACCTTAGGATACCATAAATATCTTTGATTCTGGTCGTGTAAGTGAGCTGGAAAAGCAAATGGCCTTCGTGTCTGACAGATGCCATCATCATGATGAAGAATATAGCAAAGTGATGCTTCTGCTCCATAATCTTCAAGATCAGGTTGCCCAGATGAGTGACAAAAGTGAAACATTGAAGCTAATAAAAAACGTGATGGGTCAACATCTTAAAGATATGAAACTGGAGGAGAAGGTAAGATAGTCAGTTATTGATGCTTTCTGATACTGATCAAAGTCTTCTGTTTTAATAATGCAGATTATTAGCAATTTGACTTTAGGATTCTTTCTGTTACGGAATTAACTGATAGAGAGTAAATGCCAGGGTGTAGTCATTGGCATTTATTCCTCCTTTGTTACTGCTGACAAAGAATTAATTCCAGATAGGTAGTCTAAAGTAGAATCTTACATTGCTGAAAAGCAGCTGGATTTATCCTGTTTTCATAATGAGAAAGAAGACTGTAGGGAGGACTAGTGACAAAGAAGAGGTTTTGTGGTAAACTTCACTGTGTGTAGCCCCTACTATTGCTGAATCAGGCCTTTATATTTATTACAGATTCTATAATTTCTCATACTACCTGCAGGATAAATCACTTAAGCACTCACTGAATGGAACACAAATTATGCATTGTAGAAAACACAAATTATGCTATTTGTAGTCCAAAGGAAAATATGCCACTTCCGCTCCCACCCCCTCTTTTTTTAAGACTGATTTGCTGGCTTTACATCAAGAACATGAGTTGCGCATCCTGACACTGGAAGACCTTCTTGGAAAACTCTCTGCTGAATCCAAGGTATTGAAAGTTAGCTTTGCTAACTCGCTCTAATTGTAATCTGTTGATAAAATACTTAAGGTTTTTGTTGGCTATCCCAAACCCCAGTTTGCTTTATCTATTACAGCGCTTTAAGTCTCAAAACTTGTTTGTGTTCTTGCTCCCCCTTCTTGGAGGGCGCTTCAGTCCAAAGGTTAAAAATTATTCACTTGACCAGTGAGGCAGGTTCTATTTGGAATAAAATCTTATTATACAGAGGCACAAACATAAGTGTGGGGACGCAGTCCTGTACAGGTGGTTTAATCCCAGCTGATAACTAAGCCCCACACAGACACTTACTTGCTCCCCCCTAGTGGGATGGGGAAGAGAATCAGAAGGGTAAAAGTGAGAAAACTTGTGGGTTGAGATAAAGACAGTTTAATAGGTAAAGCAGAAGCCGCGCAGGGAAGCAAAGCAAAACAAAGAATTAATTCACCACTTCCCATTGTCAGGCAGGTGTTCAGCTGTCTCCAGGACAGCAGGGCTCCATCATGCCTAACGGTTACTTGGGAAGACAAACGCCATCACTCTGAACGTCCCCCCTTCCTCCTCCCCCCTGGTTTATATGCTGAGTGTGATGCCATACGGTATGGGATACCCCTTGGGTCAGCTGTCCCAGCTGTGTCCCCTCCCAGCTTCTTGTGCACCCCCAGCCTCCTTGCTGGTAGGGTGGGGTGAGGAGCAGAAAAGGCCTGGACCCTCTGTAAGCACTGCTCGGCAGTAACTGAAACATCCCTGTATTGTTAACACTGGTTTTAGCACAAACCCAAAACTCAGCCCTGTACTAGCTGCTATGAAGAAAATTAACTCTATCCCAGCCAAAACCAGCACAGTGGTGCTAAAATCTGTCATTTTCGTTTAACGTTCTTTATCCTATTTCTGTTGCTTGTGTTTGTCTGTTAAAACTAACTTTTGTATTTTTTAGGACATCCAGAAGGAACTTGACATAGCCAAAGCAAAAACAGTGAGGTATAAGCACTTTTCAAATATATTTTGCTTTTTCAATCCTGGTGCTAACTGATGGCAATATACATGTTCTTCTTTGAAATACATACAACAAGGCTCATTTCCAGTGTGTGAGCAGTCCTACAGCTACATTTTTTTTTTACTGGAGAGCACTGTTAATATAGTGAAGGAGAATGAGTGACTTCTTACCCTATTACAAATGCGTTAGAATTTTCCTACAAATTGCTTACTGAAGTATACAGTAATCACTTCTGATAGAGTTTATATTTAAGTTCTTGAATTGCATCAATTCTAACCTTTGTCTCTGTTTTTGGTTTGTCAGCTGTACTACTTTCCACTCGTGTACTGTGTAATACTGGGATAAAAACGGCAGCACTTCATTAAGTAGTTTCCCTATTGCGAAGAGGAAAATAAACATGTATTTGCTGAATTGACATTTAAATTAGGTCTAAATCTAAAATGGCTTTAGAATGATGGCTCATAGTTTTTTCTATAGCATGCACTGAACACTGATCATATTGGTCATATGTGACCTGCCACTTAAGCTCAACTTGATACCTCCCTCTGAAAGCTCAACTTGATACTTCCCTCTGAAGTTACTCTGATTTAAGGTAACCTGAAACTCGCTCTAACCAGTGGCAAACTCATGCAAATAAAGTTTGACTGGTTTGCCAGAAACCTTAAGTTACCCAAATTCTATATATGCTTGAGTTATTAACTTGTCAGCCTGGTGATCTAAAGTCATCGCTGCTGGATTTGTTCACAACTTCAAAATACTTTGCTTTGAATATATTAATCTTAAGTATGCCTTAAATAACATCTTCAAGGAACTGCAAGCTCACAATGTCTTCATGGTGAATAACTGAACTAGGAAAACATTTTGTATTAGACAAGTATGTTCTCACACCTTTTGGAATTTGGAGTGATTCAAACTACTCTTTCCTAATTATTGACTCCTTGTTTTTGTCAGAGATGATGATGAACATAGTCAACTTTGGACAAAAGTTAAACAGCTAGAACTAGAGTTATCACGGATGAAATCGGAGCTGTTAACTGGGGAAAGTGTGAAGTCGAGTTGTGAGAAAATAGATGCCATTCATGAAAAAGTAAGTTCTGTAACTGTCCCAGTAAAGCTTGGTACTGCTTGATTTTGTTCACTAACTCTCTTGAAATATGCTGCAATAAGTAATGTGGGGGTAGTATTCATCTTAAAGAATTACAGTGTTTTATGTAGTGGTACTGTGAATTTTTCCATTGGTGCGTAACTTTTTACTAGACAAGAGTTTATGGCTTGTTTTCTACAATGGCAGGTTTTCTGCATTTAAGACAAGATGCAATAGCCATTCTGTATACAGTACTTTGCTATTCTTCCTGATGTATTTTGCTAACCCAGGGAGATGTGGAAAAGAAATTTATGTAAAAGCAAGTTAAGTTTGTTATCTGAAAGTTGTTTTAAAAAATTATGCTAAAGTTCTTTTAAAGCCTTTTATAAGATCTGATTAGAATGTAGCCAACAAAATACAGCAGTAAGTACTGACATAGGATTATCAACTTTGACTAAAATATCATCTTGTGATAACTCTCAAATATGATCTAGTGATTGTATGTGGAATCAAAGCATACCATAAGTGAGCAATTAAACGACTTGCTTAACTAGGCCTAACAAGTATAGTGCTCCACTTAGAGTTGTCACGGTGCCTTCTTTGAACTCTTGCAGTCAACTTTTTTTATTCTGAAGTATTAGTCAGACCACGAATGTAAATTGCATGGCTTACTAAGGCTTTGTTGGGTGTGTCTTGGTCACCAAACCGGTGAAGCATCTGGATTTCCCATATGTTCTTTTGCACACCTGTCTGGTCTGTTATTCCAGTGTAAGTCAATGTAGTTAAAACACATGTGACAGCTAGACTTCTGTGTAGTACTGAACCTATGTATGGATTTCACATGTGTCTGTTATACAGTATTACTTAACCGTTTACAGAGACTAATAATTTCTATTATAATTGTTAATGGCTTCTACTAGGTAGATGCCCAGGTCAAAGAATCTGTCAAGCTAATGCTTTTTGGTTATCAAGAAGAAGACTTTCCCGAATCGCTTCTCCAATGGCTGACATCCAACTTTGTGAGCAAAAGTGATCTGCAGACTTTGTTGCGGGATCTAGAGTTGCAGATCCTCAAGAATATTACTCTCCATATGTCTGTCACAAACCAAAAACTAACATCTGAAGTAGTAACAAATGCTGTGACTAATGCAGGGATTTCTGGAATCACAGAAGCGGTGAGTGAGTTCAGGTTCTCAAAAGTTCAACTAAAACTGTAGAGTCCTTTCATAGGCATTTTGTGGAGGATGACTGTCGATATAAATGTTAATGATTTTAAGAGATGTTGCGAACATTAATTGAAATGGGAAGAACTATAGAAAATGCTTTATCAAGTGTATTCTTACAGCATTAAGAATTTGTTACATGTTTATTTACCAATTTATTACCTTATTGCCTGTTCTGAACGTCTGTGTCTTTTCAAAGTATGCCATCTCAAAAATTGAAGAATTCCTAGGATACAAGTATACCAAAGAAATGCAGCTCAGGGTCTTGGGAAGATGGGGGGAAAGAACACAATTTTTAAAGAAAACACCGGTCAAGATGCAGTATGAGTTTATATTTCAAGATAGATAACCATGCATTAAAAATGGCCTCTGTCTTGACAGAGACTTTCAAAGACTTGTGATGGAGTGTAGCATATAAAAAAGATGGTTGCAACTTCACAGATGTGTATATATCAATTATCACGTTATTATTAAAATCCTTCTCTTTCCATTCTTCTCTTTATGTGTACATCTCTAGCAAGCACAGATTATTGTAAACAATGCACTGAAACTCTACTCTCAAGACAAGACTGGTATGGTGGATTTTGCCTTGGAATCTGGAGGTAAATAATAGGGGAAACACCATTTTTACTATTCATGTTGTTTATAGTATTTACTAAAAATCTTAGAATGAAGACTAAAGGTTAGTAGAGCGACCTTGTGTGTTGCCTATTCATCACGCTGCTGCAATTTATGGTTATGTATCAGCCTAGGTATACATGGACAGGGATAGAATGTGTCCAGCTGGATAGTGGAGAACCACAGATCTGTTTGTGTGGGGTGTACACACCACTGAACTAGTGACTGTGTATTTTTTCATCCCTCTTGAATGAAGAACCTTTAACGTGTCCTTAAAATAACATTGTACTTGATAGAAGCATTGTATTCCCCAGAAAATTATTAGACTTTAATGATACCTCTAATAGTTATTTTTCCTCAGAAAATAAACGGTAAAAATTAAGCTTTGTACAAATTTCTGCCATAAAAGTCTTCAGGAAGAAATTATTAATTACTACTTCTAACCTGATATATCTTTTTTTTTGAGGTGGCAGCATTCTGAGTACTCGCTGTTCTGAAACCTATGAGACCAAAACAGCATTAATTAGCCTCTTTGGAATTCCTCTGTGGTACTTCTCTCAGTCTCCCAGAGTGGTGATTCAGGTGATTAAAGGCTGAGTAAACAAATTCAGCAATATCATTTTGTGTTGAGTGGTTTGGATTGTTTTTTAGATGTTGGCTGTTTCTGTCTAACATACTGGGGGGCACGGGTACTTTGAACTGTGTTCCCAAGAGTGGAATTCTTCTGGTATTTCCTGGGCACTGCTTAAGTCCTGCTCTAGCAAAATTAAGACCCTTACAGGAGGCTTAGGTATTGCATTGGACTTCAGCAAAGTGTGAGCACAGGGAGAGTTCCTGTTGAGAAGTAATCTCAAGGTGGGTCTTCAAAACACTGATGGTAGTTCAGGCGGATATGCTGTCTTCTCGAAGAGTTCTACCAAATAGATAACCTTTGTTCCTGCCACTTACTATCTAAGACTGTCCCTAATAATAATTCAGACTCTATTACAACTCTTTATTACAAAAACATCATTGCAAAATGCTTGTGGGTTTTTGTTGTTGTGTCCCATGCTGTTCTCTCCCCGTTCCTCCTGTCTAGCCGGACATGTATCCAGGAAACTGCTGGGCTTTCAAAGGATCACAGGGGTATCTTGTAGTTAGACTTTCAATGAAGATTTATCCAACTGCCTTTACAGTGGAACACATACCAAAAACACTTTCACCAAGAGGAAATATCACCAGTGCTCCTAGGAACTTTTCAGTATATGTAAGTCTTGTCTCTGAACTGAGGTTGAATAAAGAATATTTGTGTTACATATCCTGAAAAATAATGACTTAAGGAAGTACAGCTAAGAAGAGAAACCATTTTTGTCATTGCTCTTAAAATTGCTTATATTTTTTAATGAGCTTTGAGACTAGGAGTAAGTGTTACAACTAATTTGGGGGGAGTTGTTTCTTTTCTCTTGCTTTGTACAGTAGTAAACATTTTTGGAGTGAGATGATGGTTTTTAATTTAGTATACTTCCTTCATATGCTTCAATTGTTCCATCCTTTCTCCATTCCCTCCCTCCCCCCAATTTTGGCTCTTCACCTCATCTATGATGTGCCTTAAATCTTTCTTAAAATTTATTTTAACTAGCACTTCAGTTGTGTAGGCATGATTGCAGAACAGAACATCACAGGCTACATCAGAGTGACGTGATATCTGAGGACTTTTTGTCTAGTTCTTTTAAATGCTTCAGTCAGTCATCTGCAAACATTTGAATCTTGACTTCAGTCTTGTTTATAACCTTGATGTTTTCCCATTTTTGTTTGTTCTGAGCAGTTTATGTTGTACACTGTGATACTGGTTTTGCCATGGAAATTAAGAGGTTTGACCATGAAAACATAAAAACATAACACAACTATGTGCAGTGCAGGAAACTCAAGTACAGAGCTGTGTCCGAACAAGCATTAAGTTATATGGGGAACATTCTGATCCTGGTTTGATAGCCTTCTGAGTGCTGTCTGCTGTTCAGTTATGTAGGCATGCTTCTGGTTTTGGTTTGATTTCAAATTTGACGGAAGCAAAAATCTTTATCCTGATGTTACAGGGTCTAGATGATGAGTATCAAGAAGAAGGCAAGCTTCTAGGGCAGTATGTCTACAATGAAGGAGGAGAACCACTGCAGATGTTTCCAGTGATGGTAAGTCTGGATGATAAGATTTAAAGTGTCAGGGAAAAGATATCCATGTTTTCTACAGTAATGCACAATGAGCGGTGAAGGAAAACAGCCTCATTCTCTGTTGGGCTCTGTAGTAGTTGCAGCAGAATGTATCTTCCTATGTGCTTCAAAACCTATGGTCTAAATAGATTAGAGGGGAGGAAGGGGTTGTGCCATCTGGACACAAATGGCATGAAGACGCTAAACATACGAAGAGTCTGCTTCATGCTTCTTCTGACTCTCTTCACAAAAAAACTAGTTGTAAGGCAAGGAAGGTTCTGTTCAAAGTGGCAGGAAGTTCCCAAGGCATAGCTTAGTAAAAGCTGGTGGTTGCAGGAATCTAAGGAAGCAACTTCAGTTACACCTGTTCATACTAGCAACATAACACTGGTTTGTGTGTTTGCTTTTTCCTTCTCCAGGAGAAAAGTGAAAATGCATTCCAAATAGTGGAACTGAGAATTTTTTCTAATTGGGGACATGCAGAATATACATGCCTTTATCGGTTCAGAGTGCATGGGAAACCTGCTGAATAATCTCCTACACTACAGCTTGGGTTGGTTTTGTTGTTGTACATTTTGTTCTCAATTTGTATATACTGGAAAGCCTAGAACACTGGAATCTTTAAAGGACGAGGATGCAAGATATATACTGCAGAACTATTGATCCTCTGATAAAGGCAGAAGACTGTCAGCAGAACTGTATAAAAAAAAATTTTTTTATTTGCTCTAATGCTCAGCTTGTGATTGCCAGTTAGCTTTATATTTTTGTGTCCATGCTGAGAGAAATAATGCATGCAAGCTACTCTGGTTCATAAAGCCCAGTTGGCAAACAGGTGACACCTATTTTATTACAAATGAATGTATAGGGTTTTTTAAAAGAATAAACCACACTTTCTGCAACTAGGAATCTGGGTTTTTTTGGTTTTGTTTCTGTTTTTTAAATCCAGGACTTTAACTGCATACTTCTGTTAACTCGGCACCATAAGCCAAAACCTGTTGTACCTTTTAAACACTGATTGTGGCTAAAGGTGTCCTTGAGTTGACCCTTCGTTTTGATCTTTTTGGTGGATCCAGAAGGGCTGCTTTGATACGTGTTGAATATAATAAATATTACTGTCAGGGAAAGTTAACACAACCAAAACTAGTTTAAACACCAGCAACTGAGAACGCTTTACTGTAATTTGTGGCCATCAATTGCTCTGAAAGTCAGGGATAACTTCAGTTACTTAAAGTTATTTTAAGGGTTTTTACCGTACCATTTTGGCCAGTTTGTTCTTCTGTCTAGTGTTAATTCCGCATCGGCCTTGATGTACTAACTGGCGCGGAGCTGATAAGCCTGCTAAATTGCTTAGTAAACACTAGTATACAGCAATTAAAAAATTTTAGTTTGTCAAAAGTGATCTCTTTGGGACAAAGTGAACTCTTCAGCCGTTCATTGTTATACTCAGTAAATGTTGTACTGTGAGAATGCAGTATGTGGAAAGCATGACTGAAGTGAGCCTCACTGCTTCACATTTACAAGAGGGACTTCTGTGCAGTACTGCCGTATAGAAACATATGGGCATTCTTTAGATCATCCCCAGCAACTTCAGTCGGGTGTAAGAAGATTAGAGTGATGTCTTGCTCTCTCAAAAGCAACGTTTCTGTGTAGAATGAGATGCCCCTTTTGGGATTGCTACTTTGAAGATCCTTTTCAGAAAAGATTCCTGAAGTGTACTTGTATGCAGAATTTTTATCTTGCTGTTTTAATGCATTTTAGTTATACATGAACTGTTAACACAGGGAACTGCTGACTGGTTTTCAGAATAGTTATGTATATTGCACAACAGTCCTCGAATGTTTAAAAAAAAAAAGTCTCCATGTGAAGAACTTCTTTTCACTTGAGCTAGAGACAGAACCTATGGCCTACACAGAGGAGCTAGATTACACATGTACAGGTGTTTTCATATTATAGGTTACATATTTAAAATTAGAATTATCCTGTATAAATTGAAATTAGGTAGCCAGGGTGGGAATATTTTGAATAACACTAACTTATTTTTAAAAAAGCAAGATAGGACTTTGTGCAATGTATTTTTGTAAATGCTTTTCAAAATGTCTGTTATTCTTTGCTGCCTCCAAACTGACAAGATGCTATTGAGATGTTTAAATAAAGAGTTTTAATTTTGGAAAGTGCATGTAATAATTGAAACGAGAAATAAAGCTTCTTTTCTGTATTTTTGATCACCTGCTTAAATAACTGAGGCTATGAGAGACAGAACTATTAAACTGACTGGTTGCTCACTGCGATGCTGGTTGGCAGAACCAGTTTTCCCCATGCTTCTGCCCTGCTTCTCGTAGAGAGAGCGATAATTAAGTGTGCTGGGGGGTGAAGTGAGGTAGCGTCACCCAACTCCCGGTGCATCTCAAGGAGGAGCTGAACACCTCGGGCTCCATTTTCCTGCCCTGTGCCTGCTGGAAGAGGAAAAACCCAGAAGCGGGTCGTTGCTTGATGCTTTCCAGCTCTTTGCAATACCGTTTCAAAAGATCCTCGTTTTGAATTTTTTTCGAATGTTTTGCAGGGTGGGTTTGGTTTTTTGTTTTTTGTTTTTTTGTTTTTTTTTTTGTTGTTGTTGTTAACCCTGCTTCCTCAGCCTTGCCTTGCGGAGGCGCAGCGCTACGCGGCGCCGTGCCGCTGCCTGCCATCCGCAAGTTTTTCCTGGCTTCTGCGTTTTACCTCGGTGCCGTGACACGGGAATCCACCCTGCACAGGGGCCCGAAGCTCTGGGCGTTCCGCCCCGCCTG